ATCATTCTCAGAAAAGTTTACTGTGAACCAAGGAGTGAAGCAGGGTAGCGTATTTGCCCCATTCTTGTTCTCCCTGTATCTCTTGACTGTCCTGGAACTGTTGCAATTAAGTGAGGGCATTTACTTCAAAGCTCAATCTGATGGCAACCTTTTCATCATCAGACATATGAATTTTCATACTAAAACAAAGACCATATGCACCACAGAGCTTCTGTACACTGACAATCCAGCTCTGGTATCACACTCCAAAGCAGAACTCCAGTGCATTCTCAGCTCATTCAACACTGTACCCAATAGCCTTGGCCTAACAATCAATGTCTCCAAAATGGTAATGATGCTCCAAGCCGCTCCCAGAATTGTACCAGTTGACACTAGCATTCAATTGAGTGGTAACCTGCTCTACACTGTAAAGCACTTCACGTTCCTTGACTGTACCCTCTTGAATGACAACAGCTTAGACAACAAAATAGAAAAGTGAATCAGAGCTTCTTTATCTGCATTTGGGAAACTCCAGAACCAAGTATGGAAATGCACTAGCTTTCACATACAAACAAATGTAAGGTCTACAAAGCTGTTGTGCTATCATACCTACTCTACTCAGCTGAAATGTACATACTGTACCAGTGACACATTTACAAGCATAGATGTCCTACATTCACCAGCTCCTCAAGGTCAACTAGAAAAACTAAGTACCCAACTCTGAAGTCTGAAAGCATGGTAATATTCTTAGAGTAGAAGCATTACTTACTCAGAGTCAGCTAACGTGGACCAGCCATGTCACTCGAATGGATGATGCCTGATTGCCGAAAGCTCTCTTTTATTGAGAGCTGAAACATGGCAAGAGAGGAGAAGGTTGTCCAAAACTTAGATACAAAGATGGTGTGCATTGGTCATCATGCAACATTCCCCTTTCCACCTGGGAAACTGTGGAGAAAGACCAAATGACCTGATGGCACCACACCATTGAGGCAATTGTTACTGTGGAACACAGAAAATAAGTTGTGAGAAAGAAGCCAGCGTCGAGCCAGCAAAAAAGCCAACCTGACCTCAACTGGAGTCAATGCAGGCTCCTGTCCACATTGTGGCAGGGTCTTTCATCGCCGTATTGGACTCTGCTCCCACACTCAAAGTTGCTGTACTACTCAACCCTGAGTGACAGGCAACAAGGATGTTTTAAAAGCCGCATTAGCATAATGCTACTGTCAAATGTATCACATTTGTACTAAATTGTTTCCAAGACCTTGTCACAACCACAGTCGTAGCCTAGGTACGAGGCCAGTGTAACAATTCCTACTTCAAATTCTCAAAAAACAAGTTCCTCCAAGTTCTTCCTCCTCCTCCACCAAGGCCACAATTTACTCAAAACCTCAACACACCCCAATTTTTAAAAGGAACTTTTCTTACAACCAAATGCAGCCACACACAAAAAATGAAGTTGGCCCGTCGCTTATTTTTCAATTTATTATGCTCACAACATTCACAAATGGATGGACAAACGGAGGCTATATCCAGTTCCACATTTTCACTCTGCAAGGGGAATCATAAACCATGATAACTCAGCACTGTTTATCTGCTAACTTGAGAAGCCCATAACCTTGTGTCAATAGTTTAAAGAACGGTTCACTTAAAACTCAGATCCAAAAAGAAAATTATTCTACCAGTTTGATGTGTGCTAAACTCAGTTTACACAATATATCAGAATAAATCATTGTATCAGCAGATCTAAAGTGATGTCTTGTTAAACTAAATGCAATGAGCTGCTCCAACTTTACTCTGAAAATTCAATACATGTTGTTTATTGTGGGAACACAATGGTATATTCAACATGTCCTGATGCATGTTCAATAATCCAGGTAGAAAAATCTAAAAAAAAAGTTAAATCTGGTCCTCTGCACATTCAAAAAAAAAAAAAGTAGAAACGTTTCGTCCTTCATCCGAAAGACTTCTTCAGTCTGAGGTGCTGTATTCAGCTCAGTCTCTTAAATAGCACCTTCTCAGAGTGGATCAACAAGTTTTGCTGCTGACAGCCAAAACCAGCTGCTCACATGGTCAAGAAGGACCATCAGCCTAACAATGGATCATTAGCACACTGATGGCTGTTTACTACTCACAGGAGGCTGAGTGATACTAGCAATCACAGCATTGTAAGAGGGGGACAGTTGAACACGGAGGCCTCCACCCCTGTTTAATGATGGACGGTTTATTTTCACAAAGATGGCCTCCTTTACTCCTCTCTCAAACCATCGTTCCTCTCTATCTAGGATGTGAACATCTTCATCCCTGAAAGAGTGACCGAGGGACTGGAGATGAGTGTAGACCGCAGAGTCCTGGCCTGATGATGTTGATCTTCTGTGCTGGGCCATCCTTTTGGCCAGTGGCTGTTTAGTTTCCCCGATGTAAGACTGATCACAGCCCTCCTGGGCCTTCCTGAAAGCAGAGAAAAAACCCAAACAGGACTCCAGCCAACCATCAAGTGAAAAGGAGGAACCCAGACCAGTGGTCATTCCATATGTTGCGGGAGTATCAGAGAAATTGAGATGTTTATTTTCTAAACACAACGTCCCAGTGGCTTTTAAACTCCAAAATATATTACGGCAAAGACTGGTTCATCCCAAAGATCCAGTCCCCCGGCACAAACAGAGTAATATTGTGTATGCTGTTCAGTGTCAGGAGGGCTGTGATCAGTCTTACATCGGGGAAACTAAACAGCCACTGGCCAAAAGGATGGACCAGCACAGAAGATCAACATCATCAGGCCAGAACTCTGCAGTCTGCACTCATCTCCAGGCCAGCGGTCACTCTTTCAAGGATGAAGATGTTCACATCCTGGACAGAGAGGAACGATGGTTTGAGAGAGGAGTAAAGGAGGCCATCTTTGTGAAAAGAAATTGTCCATCGTTAAACAGGGGTGGAGGCCTCCGTGTTCAACTGTCTCCCTCTTACAATGCTGTTATTGCTAATATCACTCAGCCCTCTGTGAATAGTAAACAGCCATCAGGGTGCTAATGATCCATCATTAGGCTGATGGTCCTTGAGCATGTGATCAGCTGGTTTTGGTTGTCAGCAGCAAACTGGTTGATCCACTCTGAGAAGGTGCTATTTATAAGACTGAGCTGAATACAGCACCTCAGACTGAAAAAGTCTTTCAAATGAAACACGAAACGTTTCTACATTTTTTTTTTTTATGTCCACAGGACCAGATTTAACTTTTTTAGATATATTCAACATGAATAAGTGTACAGCCGTCTGGACAGTGGTGTCACTCCACAGGGATGAGACAGGAAGAGGAGCCTTTGCAGAGGGGCTGAGAAAAATCTGAACACTTTCACAAGCCCCTTCAAGGGGCAACAAATTCTCGTGTGAATTCTACACTTCCTGACAGAACAGGGAGTCCATGCGTACACATAAACACAAGGATACACCAATAAAGAACATGTCATGCTGTATACACTCATGGTATCGGAAAGAAACAGCTAAATCAGCTCTTTCAGTTGAATAATTTTACAAGTCACTTATACATATGTTGTAACCAAATGATTTGGGTCAACTTAACACTTAACCAGTTATTCTAGATTGAAAGTGAGCAATATATGGCCCAAGGGCCAAAAGTGCTTATGGGCAAGGTCCATCTGGCCACCAATATTCTTAATTGAAAAGAAAATAACTTTTAATTAAGTTGAATGCTAAGATACAATATTGATGTGCTCTCAGAGTGTGTGTATGTTCTGACCAATCAGTGTTATATGGTGATGTGATGTTCTACATGAAAAGGGTGGTGCACTAATAAAGTTCTTCTCTTGGTGTTACAGTTCAAGGAGCACTGTCATGTGCGTAATTACTCCATCTGGAATCATAAATAACTCTATGCAGGAACACTGCAAATCTGCATTGTATCAATGAAACTTTATGAAGTTTAAATTGGACCTTGGACAAATTCATCAAAAACCATTGTTTTAGAAAACTTTTTTTTTTTTACTTTGTAAGTTGCTGTGTTTTTATAAACTAGACTGAACCTTAAAGTCGCCACAAAAAGCAAACGTGTAACTTTTATTAAAACTTTTGTGTGCTAACATATTGTTATAAATTGTTGCAAGAGCCAGTTTACAGAAAGTATGTCTCATATTCCTAAGAGTATTGGGGAGACATATTTTCATCAAGCATGCTAACTATGCTACAACAACAAAAGAGCCTGAAAAGTCTTCCAGATTGCAAAAGTCTTGCAAAAGTTACTTTCCAATAGGCAGCACTTGGGACTGCTTTAAATATCTTAATTTGGCCCTCTGTTCTAGATGATGGTATATCAGCTCAAATCTTCCTGTCATACTTTATATTTCATATATATACTTTATATTTCTGCTATTTTTGGGTGTAACTGGGACCTTGAGTACACAATTTTGTTCCACCTCATGGACCACATGTTGCTGTTGTTTGTCATATTGTTTTGTACTATTAGCGCTTAGTGTATTCTTAGTTTAGCATATTTCTTAGTTCATATCTTAGATCTTATTACTGTTTTTTCTTTACAGTTTGTATTGTTGTTGGATGTAACTGGGACCCTGTGTACATAATTTTGTTCCACTTCATGTACCACATGTGATGTGAATGACAATAAAGACACCTTGACCTTGAAATATCCCCCAGTCATTTCTATCACAACGGTAACCCATTCTAAAGCTGAAATATTTAATGTCCAGTTACAGAGAGGCGTGTAAATGTAACAGCTTGGGCAGCTGAGTTCATCGTTGCTGAACAAAAAAAAAAAAACCTAATAAAATTATAGTTTTATACAGATTTGATGTCTTTAATATCTGTGTTTCAATGTCCTTTAAACAAAACATCAAAATCACACTTATCTCCTTTATTCTCAGTTTTTTTTTTTTTTATTGGATAAGTTTGTGCCCTTGCACAACCCTACAGCTTTGGAGCTGTTCCTCTTGTACAGCTTGTTATTCCGTCATTTTTTTCTAACCCTTTCACAACTTATGAACTTTGACTCTGACCTTTACGGCCGCGTCCTCCGTCTCCGTGGGCCTCGTCGACCGCCTGCTCGGCTGCTCGTAGCTGTCCATCTGGTAGCGTATCGGCTGCTTCCTGTTGATAGCTTTGGTCTTTAGAGAAATATCAAAAGGACAAAGGAGTCAGGGGAGAAAAAAAAAGAGATTTCAAGATAACATATAGTAATAAACGTGTTTTCATTGTTATTAGCGCGTTAAACTTGGCATTCTTTGTACTTCATGTGAAGTCACTCACATAAAGTGAGTGATACATTGTGTACAGTTTGTGCAACAAAGTTCACCCTCGAGATTTAGTCATGAAGTCACTACATGTGAGTTTTATTGCTTCACCTTCATTTTCTGTACTTTGTTCATTGAAATCTTTAGACTAATGCTTCTAATTTGGTTATAATTTGAAGCATTAATCTAAAACTATGGCATGAATCCATATTCATTTCAGCTGAGTTATTAATCAAAGCAGTTTCATAGGATATAACACTTCAACATTACTTTTACCAGTTGTTTTATTTTCAAGGGATCAAATCAAAAGATGAGCATGTTGAGCCCTCCTGCTGTCCTTGGGTCAAAATGACTCTTGAGGCCTCAGAGGCCTTGGAGCAGGGGTGGGCAACATTGGATTTCCAGAGGGATTAATTGAGATATTTAAAACAATTAAAGTGCTGCATAGTTATTGTTGTTATTATTAACCTTTATTTAAGAGACCACAGAACTCTTTAGCAAGGAGGGTCTGAAAGCAGCCTAGCATGCAGGTTTTTGAACTGTGGGAGAAACCTGGAGTACCCGGAGACAACCCATGCAGACAGTGGGCGAACATACAAGCTCCACACAGAAAGACCCCTGGTCCAAACTGGGGATTGAACCCATGACCTTCTTGTTGTGAGACAACAGTGCTCACCACTCAGCTGTCGCAGTAGTGAATTGGAAAATACATTTTCTTTAAAACAGATAGTTTGGAAGACTTTTTTTCCAGGCTTTGAATCATAGCATGTTCTGTTTTAGAGTTGGTATGAATGATAAAAATGTGTCTACCCAAAACTCTTTAGCAGCATAAAAGATGCTTTATGTAAACTGGTTGCTGTGACAATATATTTGTTAGCTTAAGTATGCAAAAAAAAAAAAAAGTAGTATATTTGCTTTTAGGAGTCTTTAAAATTCAGTCCAGTTATTGAAACATGCCTTAAAAATGTTTTAGCCTGTCTTAATCCAAATGTTTTCGATTGATTTTACCAAGATGTTTAATTCTGACTTCCTTAGCATTTATAGATAAAATGCAGGATTTCATCAACTTATATAAAAGCTACAACAAAAAAGGTTAAGTTGTGTCATCTGGACCAGTTTCTTTAAGTGAGAAGCGTTTTATCTCCCATCCAGAGGACTTCCTCAGTCTACGGCCTGCCAATCAGATCTGTCCCATAGGTAGCCTTTACTGCTGTGTTTCAAGCCAACCTCTTGTTGGAATCTCAAAAGTAGGTCTTTAATATGTGACCCTTTTTCTTAACCACTCTGGCCTTGGTTGTCCTCAGACTGTTTCTGTGAGTTGGCCACCTGGCCTTAAACATTTGATTTTTGTACATGATGATTGTTTTGGATGGGTGTGTCACATGTTAAAAGTCTACTTCTGAGATTACAACAGGAGGTTGGCTTGAAACACAGCAGTAAAGGCTACCTATTGGACAGATCTGGTTGGCAGGCTGTAGACTGAGGAAGTCCTCTGGATGGGGGACGAAAAGTTTCTCACTTAAAGAAACTGGTCCAGATGACACGATTTAACCTTTTTTGTTGTTATCTACCTGGATGATTGAGCTTACAACCCTTTATCTAAAAGCTGCTTTCAGGTCTAATAATGATGTCTAAGGGCTACTTTTGGCCCGCTGATCATATGTTGCTCATGTCTCTGCCTTTGAGGATAATTTTGACTCAAATACAGCAAGACAGTTAATGATTCCTTTAGAATGGTTCTTTTTTTTTTTACTGATTGGAGTGTTGTTTATTGTGCTAAAACTAAACTCTGTACCCCAGTGGGCTGTGACAGTCAGAGACACCATACTGTAAGAAAATGCAGAATTTTTCACTTGGAATCAAACATAATTGGTACTTAGGCACATACTGTATTTATGAATTTACACACCTACAGTAAATTGTAACATGTACGCTACGTTCTTGGAGTGATGTGCACATTGTTTTCATGCAATTTATTTAGTCTCAAGTATGTCTGAATTTGATTGCATTTGTTTGCTTTTTTGTCTGCTATCCATCAAAATAAGTTTTCTCGTGTTTTTTCATTCATTCAACATTTATTTAAACAGATTAATCCCATTGAGGCATGAGGACTCATTTACGAGAGAGACCTATATTTTAACAAAGTGATGACACCAGTGACAATGACAACAATAGACAATCATAAATGATTCATACAAATTAAAGGGTTTTTTTTTACAATTGAAAACAGAATGATAATTAAAAGGAGGAAAAAAAACGTAGCCAAAAAAATAAATAAATAAAACCAAACAGCTAGGTTACGAGGTGGTGTAGAAAACTAAAAACAGGAACATGTCTGCATTGGTTTTTGCCAGGAACTTAACAAATGTTTAAAGCAACTTAAAGAGGTCAAGGTTGAGAGCTTCAGATCTTTTTGTAAGATACTCCAGGAAACAGGAGCAGAGTAGGAGAAGGCCCTTTTGCCTAGTTCAGTCCTCACTGAGGAAACACTGCAGGTAATAATGTCCTGAGAGCGCACGCTGTAGCTGCACTCACGCAGAGACATGTAGGAGGACATGCATGAAGGCAGCAGACCAAGAAGTGATTTAAAGATGAAAATGTACTAGTGGGAGAGTCTGAGTGAAGTTAAGGATGTCCAGTTAACCAGTGGTGGGTACGGTAGTTACAGCCAGTTATGAATCTTAATGCGCCGTGATAGACACCATCCAACATCTGCAGGGTTCTTGTATGGGCGTTCATATAAATAATGTCACCGTAGTCAATGGAGGGAAGGAAAGTCACAGTTACAAGGCATTTCCTAACATTCAGAGTTAGACAGGATCTATTTCTGAAAAAGAAACCCAATTTAACTTTCCGTTTTTTACCAAATTTTCCACGTGAAGCTTCAAAGAGAGATGTTGACCAAGATACCCAAATATTTGTAGGAATCGACAAACTCAATAAGGACACAATTAAAGGATAAAATCAGAGGGAGAACTGCTGGGACCGGCTTCCTGTTTGCAAAAAGCATCACTTTGGTTTTATCGGCATTTAGGACAAGTTTGAGACAGAACAAATCTGACTTGATGATGTCAAAGGTGGATTTCATAAGCTGGAAAGCCTTAGCAACTGTTTTAGCTCAACAGCAAACATTTATATCATCAGCGTAGAAGTGTAGGGATGCATCAGGGATACTCTGATTTGCGTTGTCTATGTAGATTGTAAAGAGGGTGCGTCCTAAGACTGAGCCTTGTGGAACACCATTGTTAACTGCTAAATAACTGGAGGAAATACCATTATATTGAACACATTGCCTCCGATCTGAACGATAGTTAGAGAACCAACCAATGGTGTGATCTGAGAAACTAGTTTCTGAGAGCTTATGACACAAGATGTTATGATCTACAGTATTGTTGCAAATATGTTGCAAACCCTCTCACAGTTGTCTCACGTTCCTTCCACTTTCTGAGCTGTGGAAAGTAAACTGAAAAGGGACTAAATTTGTTTTGCATAAGTTCTGAAAATGTATGAAAATTCTTGCAACACGAGCAAGAGCCTGTGACTCAGGCGAAGAACAAAACTCCCTCACAAAAGTTGTTCCCAATGTCTGATATTTCTACGCATCTGAGCAGCAGTTTTTAAAGCACTTAATTATGACAAAACTCACCGCCCCAAAATGTTTTTTGCCTGAATCCAAGGAAACAGATATGTCTCCATTTCGCCAGCTGTCTTCTCCGATTTCATCACTCTGGAGAAACTCGCCGAGCTTCTGGACGCTGCAGCAACAAACAAACACGACTCCGTGAGACGTGTGAGCGTTAAGCCGACCATACCATCACCAATACCAGCAATCTCTCAGGAGTTTAGAGTTTCTCTTCCCTGCCGTCAGCTTTCCTTTAATTAGATTCACCACTGGAAACATCTCCAGTTTGTTCTCCTTGTTTAGTCACTTCTACAAGTGACTTCCACAAAATATCGCAGTTACATTGACTCACCTGACGAGCGCCTTCACAGCAAATCTGACGACGGTGGAAAGTAGAAAGAGTGGCGTGACCAGGATGTGGAACAGCGCCAATGCTGCAAAGGCTTCAGAGGGTTTGGGACTGGTTTCGTAGATGACGTGATACGTCACAAACGTCTAGAAGAAATTATTTTACACGTTATCTCTGCTGCAGCGTGTTCAGAAATTCCTGATAATAGTCGTAATTTATAAGTCAATTCATGAAAATGTTGGGATGTTGTGTCAAATGAAAATAAAAACTAAATGCAGTGACTTGCAAATCTAATATATATATATCTTTTTACAATAAACCACACTGAACTTGTCTAATACAGAAACTAAAAAAATGCACACTTTTTGTAGAAATAAAAGTTAAGGTAATAAAAGGAGGGCTTACCACAAGAACAGCAGCGATGGGAATAGCAGCGTTCATGAAAACTGCACAAAGAGTAGAAAATAAAAACACTTTACCGGAGTGCTCCATATAAACTAACATAGCTAATATTTTATAGCTATTTTTAGGTTAAAGCTACCTTACAACAAAAATATTAAATAATAAAAAACAATAAATGTACAAATATAGCTGTACAAAAGTAAAATTGTACATGAAAGATGAAAAAATAAATAAAAACATGTAAGTAAAAAACACTTGACAGCCTTTTATCTGTTTGAAAAGGAGTAGGAACATAAAACGTATAACAATAAAACATTTAGAAATACCTCAAGATCAACAAACCGTATCAGATAGAAAATCCTGCAGACTGTTTTGTATTTTACATCTGTTGGTGAACACTGACATTTTTTTATGTGAATAAAAGAGTGAAGAAGTGAAGCACATGTAAAAAGTTCAGTCCTATGACGTACATGATGAATATTGTGTTTTTACTTCATATTTAAACAAAAGACAAAAAAAATGACAACTTGGAGATTTGTTGGAACAGTAATCAGTGGATCTCTCACAGTACATATACTTCTTAGTTTTCACTAAAGCAGTAGTAGACAAAACTGCTCATTCATAGGTTGACTGGTTAGCATAGTGCTACGTTAGTGCCGGAAGTTGTTGATGGGAGCAGGGGTTAGTTAGCATAGTGCTACGTTAGTGCCGGAAGTTGTTGATGGAGCAGGGGTTAGTTAGCATAGCGCTACGTTAGTGCCGGAAGTTGTTGGTGAGAGCAGGGGTTAGTTAGCATAGCGCTACGTTAGTGCCGGAAGTTGTTGATGGGAGCAGGGGTTAGTTAGCATAGTACTACGTTAGTGCCGAAAGTTGTTGATGGGAGCAGGGGTTAGTTAGCATAGTCCTACGTTAGTGCCGAAAGTTGTTGATGGGAGCAGGGGTTAGTTAGCATAGTGCTACGTTAGTGCCGGAAGTTGTTGATGGAGCAGGGGTTAGTTAGCATAGTGCTACGTTAGTGCCGAAAGTTGTTGATGGGAGCAGGGGTTAGTTAGCATAGCGCTACGTTAGTGCCGGAAGTTGTTGGTGAGAGCAGGGGTTAGTTAGCGTAGCGCTACGTTAGTGCCGGAAGTTGTTGGTGAGAGCAGGGGTTAGTTAGCATAGCGCTACGTTAGTGCCGAAAGTTGTTGGTGAGAGCAGGGGTTAGTTAGCATAGTGCTACGTTAGTGCCGAAAGTTGTTGGTGAGAGCAGGGGTTAGTTAGCATAGTGCTACGTTAGTGCCGGAAGTTGTTGGTGAGAGCAGGGGTTAGTTAGCATAGTGCTAAGTTAGTGCCGAAAGTTGTTGATGAGAGCAGGGGTTAGTTAGCATAGTGCTATGTTAGTGCCGAAAGTTGTTGATGGGAGCAGGGGTTAGTTAGCATAGTGCTATGTTAGTGCCGAAAGTTGTTGATGGGAGCAGGGGTTAGTTAGCATAGTGCTATGTTAGTGCCGGAAGTTTTTGACGGGGTGGGGTTAGTTGTCATAGTGCTACATTAGTCCCATAAGTTGTTGATGGGGGCAGGGGTTAGTTAGCAGTTGTTGACGAGGTGCAGGGTGGGGTAGCAGAGCGCTACATTTGTATTGCGTGCGGTTTGGAGTCTGAGCTGAGCTGCTACACTCTCCACTCCTCATTCGGAAGTGGCGGAGCTTCATGGGGCGGGTGGAGGATTTGGTGGGCGGGGCGACCTTCTTGAATAACGGTAGGGGAAACACTAATCTTTATGTGTCATTTTTGGCACCTCATTGGAGGCATAGCGTACGCTACGCTGCCATGTAGTTACTGTTTTGGTTGGTGTGGTGTAATGTTTCTACGCAGATTTAGAAGTAAATACATCTCAAATGTGAGTTTTATGTAAATATACATAAACTCGTATTCGACAAACCGTTGTATGAATTTACTGAACATCTTATTACTTTGATAAACCTTTACACGCCATGAGTTGTGCATTACACAGTTATTTTAGAAGAAATGTGATATTCCTGCAGGAAGTGCAACAGGCTGCACCAGAAGTGCTACAGCCAATATTTGTGCTTAATAACCACAAAGTTCACAATTAATCATGGTGTATTGAGAAAGTGAATGGTTTACAAGTTTATAAAACAGCATTTGCATACATTTCTATGCCTCTCTCTCTCTCTCCATGTATATATATAATTTAAAATATATATATATACATATATATATATATTTTTTTTTTTACAAATTGGGCGCTATTTCAAGATGGCAGCAATACACTTGGTCGTTTTCGGACTAGCAGTTAGTTCATCATTCTGGTCCAAATTCAACTTATTTCTCCAAAGTGAGGTTGTTCAAAATGTTATCATGACAAGTAAGATATTAACTGTTTATACCTTATCCACATAAGCTCACTTCAAGAGATCTGGTTTCACTCCAAAAAAAAGAAAAAGGTCATTTAGGCACATGCAGAACATTGTCCTAAATAAATTAATCTAAATATCTTTGTTCCTAACAGAATGCCTGCATGTGATGAAAGCTACTTAACATTTTTGAAAGGAACAAAAAAACATCACAGCGTGTTGATTTTGTTCTTACTGGACATGGAAGTGTAAAACGCGAACGTCCTGAGGCTGGTGAGCTCTTTGCCTCTGGTTTGCTCCACGTTGTCACAGAAAATATCCTCCCAGGCGTAAAGCTTCAGCAGCTTTATACCTTTTAGGATCTCTGTGGTCTTTTTCAGCCGATCTGTGGAGTGTTCCTAAAAAAACAAGATGATGAAGTAAAATACAGACTGTAGTTTAGATCACTGTTGTTATCAACTTGTGTATTTAATGAAGAGATTTAATAAAAGCAGACAAAATCACAACAGATTCAGTTGCTTACTAGTGAACTTTTCTGTGTGTCTGCCAGTTTTGTAGCTATGCGGTACTGAACTGGAGCCAACAGAACAATAACCGAGGCTCCGACCAAGGCGCTCCAACCCAACAAGTAGTAGAGCAGAATCACTCCCATCACAATCTGAAACATGAAGCAAACATCCCTGAAGTGGATTCATGCCATTTGAGCCCCTTGTTGTTGAAAGCTGTAGTTTTGTGTACCTGAACAGGCATGGCCCAAAGGTTGGGACACAGGAAGAGGAACCACATCAGTTGGTTGGTCTCTATGGCAACCAGGTTGTTGATTTGGCCCAGCGTCATCTCCCCCATCGACATGTTGGAGGTGGAAAGACGTAGGATTTTGTTGTAAATCATCGCCTTGATAGTGGGACACAAAAGAAAGACGTAATTTTAACAAATAGTAAATGGACTGTACTTATATAGCACCTTTCTATCTTATTAAGATACTCAAAGTGCTTTACAACACGATCTGTGTCTCTGTTACCCATTCACACAACACTCTACTAGATCTACAGTATACAAAGCTAATCTGAATTTGTAGACTAATCAGTGCTTGATCACATTCATACACCGATTGGACACACATTGGAAGCAATGAGGGGTTCAGTGTCTTGCCCAGGGACACTTCAACATGTGACTGCTGGTGGAATCGAACCCCCAACTCTCCGACTGGAGGATGACTACTCTAACCACTCAGCCACAGCTGCCCCGTAAACAAGATTAGGATAACATTGACTCCTGGGTCTCAACATTTTTGAATCCTCGTCACGGCCTTGACTTATTTACACAGCTCTCGCTCACATGCAAACATCTAAATCACACCAGAGAGAATTTATAAAATATCTCTTGAACCACTGAATGGATTTTAGTAAAACTTAATGGATTCATGTGTACAAATGATTCACTTTTGGAGTTTTTTTTTTTTTTGGGGTGGGGGGGTGTACTCCAGTTTCCTCTCACAGTCCCCCCCAAAAAATGCACGTCAGGCTAATTGGAGAGCCTAAACTGTGAGTGTTGGCATCTATGGTTGTCTATCTTGTGTTGATTCTGTGATGGCTGGCAATCTGTCCAGGATGTACTCTGCATCTCCTTCAGTGACGGCAGATAGGCACCACCTTTTCACAACCCGCTGCATATAGAAAACGAACAGCTGAAGTGTCCTCAACTGATTGCCATAGTCAATATATAATTCCCAACTGACATCATACTTCCTACATTTGGGCACTTTGTGTCATCCCGGCATAGGCATCGCAACAAATATATGTGAAGGGGGCGTGTCCTCCTCACATTTAAAAAATACTCATCCCCCCCCCCCCCCC